GTGTTGAAAATGACCGTGAAGTGAACCGAGGGCGGATCTCTGATATCAGCCCAGCGACCGCTGTCAATGTCCAAAAGCACGTCTCCTGCAACGGTTAAATTAAATCTCATTAATATAATATTTCATTAATGAATCTCATTAATAAAATAGCAAGCATGAATCAGAAGCTACACTCAGAAAAATAAATGGGACACTTTATCTAAACAGTGACACACTTTCTTGCCCATAGCACGAGCATATAGTTGACAAAGCACTGATACGAACTATTGCATGTAAGATTCCTTGGTCAGGATGACCTATATAAGGGGAAAAGTGTGTCGTTATTGGAACAGCCTCACTCTCTTCGTCTGAGTTTAATGGTAAGCTGGTAAAAGAAAATTAAGGCCAAAACTTGTTAGTGATTTCATACTAGTTGAAATGTTGTCTCAGAAATCGTATATGAAAAAAATGGTTTTTAGTATGGTATACGGTACATGGTATATATCAAACGACAGTACTTAATATAGTATACATGGTATATATCAAAAGACGGTACTTAATATAGTATACATGGTACATATGAAATATGATACTTAATATGGTATACATGGTATATATCAAAAGACGGTACTTAATATAGTATACATGGTACATATGAAATATGATACTTAATACGGTATACATGGTATATATCAAATACGATACTTAATACGGTATACATGGTACATATCAAAACATTGCACTTAATATGGTATAAATGGTATACATCAAAAGCTGATAGAAGAAGTTTTGCCGTAAATAAGCTCACCATAGAAGAGCAGTATGAAGATAGTGGAGATCATGTAAACAGCTTGTCCTAGGATGTTCTTCATCATGGTCCTGGAGATGAGAGGCTTTGTGCGACCATAAGGCTTACGGAGCAGCAGATCAGGAGTCGGAGGCTCGGTGGCCAGCGCCAACGACGCCAGCGTGTCCATGATCAAATTCACCCACAACATTTGAACAGCCTGCAAATATTCATTCCTTTTATTTTATGAAGATTATCGTGATTTCTTGTCTGCAAACATAATATTATTTTATTGCACTAAGATTTTCGTGACGACGATTATTTTGTTCATTTATTGTACAAAGAGATAATCATAATGTCTGGCACAGCAAAACTTCGACAGTATTATAAATATTGAGAAAATTGATAAAAAGTTGATAAGTGTACAGAAAATAAAATAGAATAGAAGATAGGAGCTAACATTACAATAGTCAAATGCTCAACGCATAGTTTTATGAGGCCACGACGCAACACATACACTAAAGTAGCCGATGTTACAAAAAAAAATTGTAAATGAATAAAGCCATTATAATAACTTTCGTTGAGAACGTTTTTGAGGAAAACACAATTTCAGCAATTACCTCTGGCGAATAAATAAAAAAATTTGTCCAGAACCAATTTAGAAAACAAGTAATGCAAGATAATGAGAGACTTATTGCAGCTCTTAACAGTCTTGTTTGAAGAAACCATCAATTTCGAAACAATAGTGAAGCTATATCGAGAAAAATTGACATTGAAAAATCAGTAAATTTTTGCGAATCAGTGAAATGCTGTNCTGTCTCTTATACACATCTAGATGTGTATAAGAGACAGGGATGACTGTGCTCATCGACTTGCGTATGGAGTTGAAAGTGTAGACTTTATGGATGCATTCTTCAGGAAGCTCGTCGCGGTAAACTTGATAGCTTTTACCCAGCGCCAGCACGAAGCCAAGCAGCGCGCACTCCGTTTTATTGCCGAGCTGCTCAAAATACACAGTCATTACAAAATATACCAAATAAACAGCTTAAAATATAGTCACAAAATACACAGGTCAGTGATTTTAAACTTTATACTCCACTAAATATGCCAGCATACAAATGTGAATCTTTCTGAAATGTTGTGACTTACATCATGGCGAACACGGCTGAACAAATTAATTCTATTTGAACGTACCTGCTTGGGCAGGTCGCCAGGGTTGTCGCCGGGCAGCACACGCGACGTGTAGGCCGAGTTGATCGAGATCGCCGACACCAGAACCTCGGCCAGGTTGCGGTTCAGGTCGTCGTAACTGCGAGCACCAGTAACAGTTGACAATACATTCAAAAATATAACTCAGTACTCACTGCAGTGAGTGACAAAGAGCGCATTTTCCCGTCGACGAAAACGTGAAGTCACGGAATGACGGACGGACGGACGGACATGACGAGCACAATAGGGCACATTTTCCATAAATGAGATAATGCGCTAAAACACGGTATTATAAACATGATCATTTATGGGAGTAGATAAGACATAAAATCTCCATATGTTAGTTGGAGAATACAAAAAATGTGAAGTTGAATACATGAATTTCGTGATACTGCTAGTGATGAGAAAAAAATGTAACCGAGATTATAATAATACTGGTGATGTAAACACATAGTGTTTCTATGTTGCTACACACGGTGTTCTTAACTTGTTGTAGAAAAAACATTACTCTTTAAAATGAATAGTGTACGAGTACTGGATATATCAGATATTGAGCGACAAGTTACACTCTCGATGCTCAGGCTTACATCGTCAAGCTGCAACTGTTAACCTCTTACGCAACTGCAAGAAGCTTTAAATAAACTTATATCTACCAAGAAACTTCTCACGTGGTGATTTCGTATGTAAATCTGCAAGTAAAGCATAAATTACAAGAGTAGCGTGATTGAATTTCGATGTAAATCATGAATGAATTTCTGCATAAATCATGAATGAATTTCTGCATAAATCATGAATGAATTTCTGCATAAATCATTGAATGAATTTCTGCATAAATCCTGAA